AATCAATTTTAGATTATCCTTATGACCTATGATAAAGATCAGCATTAGATGCAAAAGAGAAAAGTATTAAAGAATTTACATAAAAAGCCATGTTTCGTTTATTACATTAGCAATTAGAAAGCGTAGTTAGCGTTGCGAAAACGCAGTATGGTTGTGCATCCTAGATAATTCAGATCACCACTTTAACTCCTAGATTTCCTAGATGTTGCCGAGAGCTCCATATGCAGCATGTTCCATGTCAGACGTATTTTATAAGCTCCAAGGGACGGAAAAAAAAATAACCACTGTTCTCTATTCAGCCTTCCTGTTGTCTTGTTCTCTCTCGATCTTTTGCATCACCAACATGAATCTCAAAACATGCAAAAACCGTTAGATCTTAAATAACTTTTTCATTGGCTGGAGTTTTCACTTCATGTTAAATGCCTTACCCTGGAAATAGCCAACATGTTTGCTCTCTAGAAACTTCCACAACATGAAGTATTGATGTTGGCACAGCTCGGTGGTCCATCATGTGTTTACAGATATAAAAGATAAATAAGTTGGACGAAAGGAGTTCCCTCTATTCAATGAGAGAAAATAAAATAAAAAAAATGTGTTAAAGATATTATCTAAAATGACAGATCTAAATAGATTATAAAACATTTTAACCACAGACATTGGGGTATTTTTAGAAGCAAATTTGTGTCAAAAAGAGAAGCAGCAATCAGAAGGGTTTGGGCAGAAGGTTTGCGGTGGACAGCTGCTTAAATTAAATTAAATTAAATCTGGCCAAAATATGTTTTTTGGCAAAAGAAAAAAAGTCTGTCATGAGTTCAAGACTGAGACTGGAAAGAGAGTGTGAGAGAAATAAAGGGAAAAGGGGGTTTGGGTGGTTAAGGAGTTATGGGTCAATAAACCCTGCTGTGGGGGAAGCAGAGAGGGACCCATAACGAGGTCAAGGACTTATCATCGATCGGCACATCATAAAGCTGACTGGCAAGGAGAGAAAAGGTTGGAGAAGGAGGTGCAGGAAGTAAGGAATATACCAGCTGTGAAAAATAGCTGTTTATCTTTGGTTCAGCGTCAGGGAAACGGGATGTAGAGTAATCATTTGAAAAGTAAATTATTCCTATGAAGGAAGGAGAGGGGCCATCTAGGACTGGTACAGAGAAAATAAAAGTTGATGGATTCATGGCAGAAAAGCTGAATTCTGTAGCAGAAAACTCACTTAGAGAAAGCACGCCCTGACTGCTAATAACAGTAAGTCTTCCTTGGTAGATCAAGTCCACCTGTTATTGACTGGATCGCACTGCAGTTTTTGTGTCTTTTATGCACATTGCTCTCAAGTTATCAACGTTCACATTTCAGAAATGAAGTAACCATCTTATTGTTTGAAAAGAAGTTTAGATTATTAAACTTAACCAAATAATTTCAGTAAAAAAAAACTGAATTCCGAAGTAAAAGTAAACGTCCAAAACAAAGTGAAATATACTGTATGTCTGATACATAGTAAGTTCTCCAAACTTATTGGTGACATAAAAGTTTCAGACTTAATATGTAATAGATTTTCAACAAAAACATGTGGTTATTCTTGATTAACAGCAATAACTGCCTGAATTTATCCTTTTAATCCCAATTTCTCATGTGAAATATTTTTTCAATGGTTGTCACAATGTCACTTTATCTGGTGAAGCTAATATTACAGTATGAGACCTGGGGATGCACAGGGAAGTTTGTTTTATATCCCAGTTTTATGATTGACACTCTTATTAGGCTGTAAGATAGGAAGCATTCTTTAAATGCCCTGTTTTGTTGACAAAGTAGGCAAATAAAAACCTCTCGTCTAACAACACTTAATTACATCTACATGGAAGAGACGATTATGCCATTTATTTATATTTTAAAGAAAAAAAGATTGATTTTCCACTTATATACCTCATACCTCACATATTATTGCCACTGACTTGCTGTGATGCAAATTTTTAAACTCCCAAGTTTATAAGATACGTTGATAAGATACATTTTCTTACAGAACACTGGCCAGGTTAACAGAAAGTTTCTGGCTGTAACCATGTTAGCAGCTGCGTAAAAGGAAATAGATCACCAGGGTTACAAAAAAAGGTATTATCAATTTGTACTGCTCAACCTTTATGTTTGTGGACTTTTCCTGAAAATAAATAAATAAATCCGACAAATGTTTTTACAGTAAAAAGTAACCTTCCATTTGTAGATAATTCTGGCAGTCAAATTACATATGTCCTTCCTCCTTTGTCTGTACAGCCAGATTAAATTGGTGTTCAAGTTTTACAAAAAGTGCAAGGTTAAATTGCTAACCTAGGAATTAATTTCCTTTTCTATTAATAGTAGTATGAAGTAATTTCTTCTGCATTCAGCTGCTTAGATGCCATATCTGTCTTTTTTGAATTACTTTTACAAGAATGCCCATAGCTGTAAATAACAGCACCCTGAAAGGTGTTTAAACATTTGTTTAGCACTACGTGACGAATACCCAAAAAGTGGATCTTAGTATTTGACTAGAAATATGAATCTTGTTTAAAAGTATAAATAAAGTCACAGTGATTGTTTTTCTTTGACTGTGAGGAATGGATTTGTCAAGGCTGTTTTAGTGAAGCAGTAGTGAAAGTATTTGTCTTGACATTTTTAGAGTAAGAAATCCAATTCATGATAAGATCACATTTACTATTACTGAGTCACATTCTTCCCTGCATTTTCTGTTTATTTGCAACTCTCTTTTCTGAACAAGTATTGCTCTACTTGATCTAAGCTGATGCTTAAAAAATTAACATTTTCTCCAATGAGAGTTAAGATGGAACCACTTATATTCAGAAAAAAAAATAAGTTCAGTGTTAATCCTCTTCTTAAGTCTTAATTAATTTCCCTGTGTTCATTTCTCTCCTTGACTTGCATTTTTTAGCGTGAACATTTCAAATATTTAATTTCCTCCCATGCTTGGTAGAAGAAAAAAAAATGGCACGGTTCAAGCTTTTATACCAGTCGTCCATCAGCTTCCCTGCAGATTATCCAGAGGTGACATTCAACGCAGAAGTTATTTCACCCTAATCTTTTTTCCTCTCTGTTGCTTTCATTTCCTCGCTATACACTGCATGTTTCAAAGTAGATCTAGATTTAAAAGCTTGTAACTTTGCAAGCAAGTGAGTCTGAGAGATGTAGAGCGATCCCTTCAGGCTAGACCGAGTCATTTAGCTCTGATATTTCCTCTGCATGAACATACAGACTCATTTCCTTTCAAACTCGAAGACGCTCCACTAACAAGACTGGGTTGATTTGTGTTTGAATGTCACAGAAGTCTTTCTGCTCAGTTTGTGTAAATTATATAATGGGAAAATTTAATGAAACCACTTGTAATTGAGAAGTGACTTGTTTGTAAATATAAATAAAGATTTGACTAATATAATGAAGGACTTTTCCGAAGTAAAAAAAAAAAGTGCATAAAACATCAACTCAAACTAAAAGTTAAACATCAAAACATGCATTTTTTATTTCTATTTTAGTAAATAAATTAAAACCAAAAATCTAGCTCATGAAATAACATATAATCTGAGGAATATTTTTGGTACCTTGAATTGTGGTGCAGCAGAGGTCTTTTGAACTACTTGAGGATAATGGAATTCCTGCCACAAATCCAACTCATAAATGTCTGCAGGTTTTCCTTATATAACCCTGGGGTTTCTGCATGCTCTTTTGGGCTTTAAAGATATGTATTTTTAAGAATTTTATGAGCAACTACACTGCCTGATCAAAGTAAATGTTACGTAGACCTGTACAGTATATTGCTGTATGAGGAGGCTTAGCTCTGATATAAATAACATATATATCTTAACTGAGGGAAAACCCGGTAAATAGGCTGGTTTTCTTCTCCAGGTTTAAACTTCTATCTGAATACATGATTACTATACATGCTAAGAGAACATATTAACAACCTGTAAATTGTTTGCAACATTTTACAGACAAATTATCATTTCAATGACTTGCAATTTACCTATTTTATGCATGAGGCAAGAGCAGAGTTCTTTCTTGGTGCTGGCTATTGTTTTGCACTATTGGAGAAACACTGGGTACATTGCATGCTCTTCCCTGTAGTACATGAAGTGTGGTTTGAAACCAGGTACTTTAGGATTCTGGAAAACCTTTTTGAAAATTCATGAAATATTATTGAAACTTAGTAAGAAAATGTTACATAGACCAGTAAATTGTCTAAACATAGGCTACATTTTCCAGTGCATTTTGTAACTTTATGAGAAACCCAGGGGAAACAAATGAAGTTTGCATGTTCATAGCTTTGTTTTTTTTGTTTTTTTCATAAGCATTCCAGGTTCTATTACTAAAAATCACTGAATGCTACTGAAAAAAGATCCCAAAAACCCAAACATTTGCTAAATTTCCTTTTGGTGCAGATTGTCTTTGTGGTTGTCTGGGTGTACTGTTTGTCTCATCCCATGACTCATTAGATACAATCCATGCCCCCTAAGCTTTTACAGAAAGCATATATATGGTTTTGTGAACACCAGAGTTTTAGAAACACCAGTTGTTTCCTTTTTAATAACACCAGCACATTGTTTTGCAATTTCTGACATAAGGAAACATGACTAGCATACAAGCACTCATCACTATTCTTCACGGAATTTCAAGAGCACAAACAGGTTTTTAAGAGTGGATATTATCCAGCGATTAGGCACCAATCCAGATGAGATGTAAGAATCTTCCAGCCAAGCCAGTGGTTTGTAAACACCAGACATGTCCAGCAGCATTAATCTAAACTGGGATTAAAAGGCATCAGAAAACTTTGAAAGACCCATGTGATTGGTTGATGACTATTACCCTGCATTGTAGCTGCTAAACCCATAATCAAGGAGAACATGATCAGATAATCTCAATATGTCTTTGCAGACCCAACCCAACAGCCTAATCCTCAGATTTAGAATCTCAGATTAGGAATCCTAGATGATTAATCCCATATTGTGTTTGTACGTTGCCTGCAGGGGACCCTTCGCCGTGTGACCTTCTCGGTTGTGAGCCAACCTCAGGATGGTGGTTGCTATGACAGTGGCCTAGAAGACTCTGAGACACCAAGCAGCAAGAGTTCGTCGGGGCCACGGCTGGGAGCCCTTCCGCTTCCTGAGGAAGGTTACGAGCGCACAACCCCAGAGGGAAGCGTAGGGGAGGAGGACCATGTAGAGAATGGTAACCATCATGCCCAACATTATTTAACACTAAGCAAAACAAAATTAATTGAGCTTAAGATGTGCCAAACAAATTCACTGAAATATTTCTCCTCTCAAGGCTATGTACTTTATGCTGTGAAAGGCTTAGAGATGTTTTGATTACACACTCTATCACACACACACAGAAACAACCCAGAGAAAGACTTTCATTGGAACCTTGACTTGCTGTCAAGGTCTCAGGAGTCTTTATTCTTCCGCTTTTGATGGAAATGTGTTTTACACTATAAAGCAGTTGTCCTTTGTCTGTCTGCATGCATTGCACATCAGGATTTCTGTATGAGCAAGGCCTCCGAGTATTATGTGAGGAGATTTTTAGAAAAGCTAATGTGCGGCAGAGTCTTGTGCCAGAGTCTCATCCATGGCTTTAAGCCTCGCTGTCAATGACCAAAAATTCCCTTTGTTCCTTTTCCCACTGCAGTGTGTCCTAACAGAGCTAGAGCTATGGCAGAACAGCAAGGTCACCACGCCCACGGTAGCTGTCTAATTATTGGGGTGGTCAATGAGATTCCACTTAAGTCATGTTTTCAGTGTTGTTAACGCTGTTCTCTCTCAGGCATTGGTTTTATTAACCAATGCCTGAAATCATTGTTTGATTTAATTTGTTGGCCTAATATGTATTTTGTGTTTAGTGTTAATACCTTTTTTTTCAACGTGTTGCTTGCAATCAAAAACTTCAATGTGTGTCAAGATTCTGTGTTTCTATGTAGAAGATCAATATATAGTAGTTTTATTTGAGGAGGTACTGCAATCATTTGATGAAGGTGTGCTGGAGCAGAAACGCATCTAAAATATAAAGGGTAGTGGCTCCTAAGGAGCAGGGATGGGAAGCGTTGTTTTAGAGTGTGTTTCTACCATCTTTGCAAATCTAGAGACTTTATATTTTACCATTTCTTTTTTGCAAAATTGCTCAAGCTAAGTCTGATTTGGTGTAGCCTGCAAAACATTAATCTTGAAATCTTGTTAGAAATTCATAGGTATAGACTCTGTCTAGGCCAACTAAAACATTCAATTTACTGCACTTTGGTACAAGCTGTTGGTTTAGAATCTCTCTCCTGTGGGATGTCCAAACTCTGCCACATTCTCAAGTCTTTCGTAGCTTCCTGTAAGATTTATTTTTATTTTTTAGGACTGTTTTGTATTTAGCCTCTATTGTTCTTGCAAAAATAAAAAAAACACATCGCACCGACATGATCATAACGAAACAGCCTAGGGCTGTTTAGGATGATGTGCTTTGTTTCCATCTTACTCTATAAGCTTTCGTTTTGGTTGCATTGATTATTTTTCTCACTGTTCCCTAAAAGCCAGATTTATGAAGTAGGTCCCTAGTCCTGTAGTTGTCATGCCTGCTAATTCCCTTAGCTTGAATGGGTCCCTTGCCTGATTATCTGATACATTCTCTCCTTAGTCCAGCCTTTCAATTTGGGTGGCTGATTGACTTTTAGATATAAATAAAAATATCTTGAGTCTGTGACAAAAGGCATAATGTTTTAATTTAAAGTTTAAAGGGTATTGACCATAGTACAAGACAGTGTGTCTGCTTGTTGGTATTCTTAATTAAATTATATTTAGGCGACTTGGTGAAGCATTGTCAATATTAACACTCTCAGATTGCAAAAACAGCATTTAGACCTAGAGTATATACAACTTTATATTCAGGTAATTTCTATTCAATGCTGTTCTTGTGTTATCAGCAAAAAACAGATCTTAAGTAAAAAATAATATATTTTAAAAACAGAAAATTCACTCCTCCTTAAAACCAGCACAAAAGCACAAAAAAGAAGAATTTGTATTTGAATTTAAGTATATAATGAAAACAGTAGTACACATTCGTATTCAACCCATATTAATTGGACAGCTTGTCTTTTACCACAAGATGACCCAGATAAGCCCCACTTCCTTTATACTGGACCCCTTTTAAATGGCATTTAACCTGGTGGGTTTTAATCAGTGAAGTGGATCGTGATATTTAAGTACCAGTTTACTGCAAGAAGACACAAGATTGCGCTATTGCGTTACGTAATGATAAATATATATAGGAGCGCTCCAAATATAGGTGCAGCTGAATCTACACTGTAAAAGTTGCAATCACTGCACTCTCTCTAGTGAGCACAGCACCTCGATAGCAGATAGAGGATAAGAGTAAAGGAAAGATAGAAGACCTTTTGTTGCGTACGTAATTATAACTAATCCGCATGTAACTTTGAATGTACTGAAATATAACTAACTAAAAGTTGCATAATTAGCAATATCCTTTCCACTCTAGCAATGTTTCATATTACTTTAAGAAAATATTTCTGCATAATTTGATCTATCTATGAAATAAACTATAAAATCTTGTTTAAAATATTGTTTATCCAAGGTTGATGTAAAGCAATACATTTGCCACAGCTTCCTTTTCAGTTTTTCTGGTAATACAACTCTAATACCTGAACTTTTTCCCAAAGGTTTTGTTTTGCTTTGATTGATCAGGTTTCTCTAAAGAGAAATTGAAACTTTTGAAACTTTTATGATACTGAAACAAAGAAAGCAAGTCAGCAAAATTATTGGATCACACCAAAAAATCAAAGAGTTTCAATGAGCTCAGAACAAGAGGAGCCAGTTTTTGAGGGGGAAAAACAATTAGGTTTCGCAAAATGTTTTCTTGAGTCGGAACTTTATAAAGTACAACACCATTGGTGTCTAAGGCAGGAACCCCTGCAGGGGGAGAACACAGGTTAGTGACCACATCAATCAAACAGAGGATATTAATGAACATGTGAGTCACTAACCTGGCCTGTGAAGTTGGTTCCAGCTGGTCAGCTGCTAACAAGACGCGACGGGTGCCACCGAGAGAGTGCCAGACACTAAAGTCCCGGAAGTCAGAGAAGGCAAAGGAAGGCAGAATAATCCGGAGGGCGAAGCCAAAGCTGGTGTTGAGGACATGCTCGGTAGTCAGACCCAGAAGGGGGAATCCAGGACAGTGTCAGGAATCAGTTCCAGGTTTGGTACAAAGGCAGAAATCCAGCAGGAGTCGTGCAAACAAATCAGAACAGGAACAGGCAGATCAGAGGTCCAGGGGCAGAACGGGTCAGGATCAGGCAAGCAGAAACACATAGGAACGCTAGAACCCTGACTTGACTGTAGAATTAAAGCAGATACTGAAATTCTGGTTTTCTCCTTTACTACTACCACACATCTAATGTTTTTAGACAATGTTAAAGTTTCCTTTGCTGGAAGTGAGGGTCCACCACCAAAAAAAAAAAAAAAAAGAAATGGACACCATGGGGTAAGAATATGATGTTATCAAAGTTTATGCATTTATAAATGAAGTGTATTCTTTTGTTAGAGACATATTGGTTTCTGTATAAACAGTGACAAAAACTGTTTAACTTTTACCACCATTAAAGAGACATAAATCCTCTGCTATTACAAGCACATTACTTGCTGTTCATTTTGTAGAACTCTGAAAGCATTTCTTCCTAACTTGACTATATTCGATAACTCGACCTTGCAAACATTCTGCAAATCAGAGAGAGATTATACACACACCTATTGTTATCTCTTCTCCTCTTAAGGTGGGTTCGCGGTTTTCTTCTCATATATTTTGAAGTCATTCGTTGTTTGATTTAGACGTTTGCTTAGACTTGGTGCAATGAAAGCGAAATAAAATCCCTTTTTATCTTTGGGTTTCTAGCACAGGTTTAGAGTCAAACCTGTCTGATATTTGGAAATGCTCATATATTTTTCAACCTTAATAAAAACCTCACTTCCGAGAAAATAAAAGTGGGTATACTGTAGGTCATGATGATGCCTTCACCGTGTTTTACAGTGAGTATTGGTGTGTATGTGTGTGTGTGTGTGTGTGTGCTTAAACAATGCGGAACAAGTTTACATTTTTTGCATAAAACCTTAACAAAATCTATTGAGAATTCTTAAGCCAGGCCTTCAAATCCTGTTTTAAAGTAATACTTTCTGCCCTTCCAGACATATGGAAAATACAGAAAATAATGGCCTCCATTGGATAGTACAAATTCTCTGAGTGAGCAGATTCTTGCATTTGTTTTTTTTCTTATCTTTCTTTCTTTCCAACTATTGGATATATTTGTTTGTCAAGTGAATATTATCTGCTTTCATGTTAAAACTCGAAAGGTTTTAAAACATGCATCAGAAAGCTTAGCATTTGTTGCAGGGGTATGTAGAGGTTTAAGATCTGTTGTAAAACTGTCTGCAGACGCCTTTCACCCTATCAAGAAGATCAGGATTCACTTGCAGGTGTTCTCGCTTATCTTTTAATGTGGATACACATGGGATTTGAAACATGTAACCTTCACATTACCAGATAGAAATGTAGATTTGCCGGTCAGAGCGTTGGTAATTGTATTCCTTGTGGTACTGATTGTTGCTTCGGTCTGACCTCACCTTTCACCTTTTATGTAGTGCTGAACGCAGCAGAAGTCAGCGATTTGCATTTTGCTTCAGCAGCATCTTTCTTCCTTTCATGCTCCTTTCAGGCTCCCCTCCCTAACAACCTTGGTTTAATCTTTTTCTTTGTTTTTGCTTCTTTTTTTCTTCTTTTCTATTATTTGATTTTTAAATCAAATTCAGTTTCTAAAGCAGCTTCCCTCTGGTATTCTGCTTATCTTTGTTTTATATATCTAGCACTTTAGATACAGGAATTAGTATAGAAATATGGAATATTCTTCTAATTTTCTACCCTTTAATGTTCAATTTCTGTTTCCAGATGCGAGACAGCTTCCAGATGTAGCACTAACTGGAAAGTGCACCAGGGAGTGTGATGAATTTGGGCACTCTGACACATGCTGGATGCCCGTCCGCCCTTCACCACGGCAACGGCAGCGGCACGGCAGCGACCCTCCACGCCTTTCAACCTTCGCCCCAGGTGACGACAACAACAATCTCCGTGGCAATGACCGTGAAAGCGACAGCGAAAGCGCCGGCAGTGCAGGGAGCTCAGAGGCTGGAGTCATGGTGGGAGGAGAAGGTCAGAGGTTACCTATGGTCAATGGGGATCCCCTTGGCACCTTGGGACGTGGCGACCGCAACAGGAACATGGGCGACCACAACCGAAATCTTCTGAATCGTAAAATGACTTCCGCATCCTACGACACATTCAGCGGGGCGGGGCTTGGGAGGCGCCAGCCCGAGGAGGAGGGAGGAGAGGGCCAGAACCCACCTGAGGTCATACCACTGGCGCGGACTGGAGGGGACTACAAGACAACCTCCTGCCTTACTTTATCTCGTCGGGAGGTCTACCTGTAACAGCCTGTAGATGGATCAATCCCAATCAAACTACATTTGCTTGTTGAAAAGAGAGGTTCCAAACTGCTCTGACATGTGATCAGTGTGGTTGGTATTTTCAGCCTATGAAGATGTGAAAAGGTCTCATGAATACTTTTAAAAGCTTATATTAAACTTTAACATTTAGACTCGGACTAACAATTATCAGCACTTAAACTTGAGCGGGTCATTTATGAACTCTCGTACTAGGTACTCTTTCTAAAAAAAACTTTTTTATAACTGCTGAAAGCTACCTACTGTAAAAGGCAATGACTGTGTGTCTGCGTGGAGCAAAAGAATATTTTCTTCATTTTCTTTTTTTTTTTACTAAATCCAATGCATGTCTGACCCTTTGACCTTTGAGGTTTTAATGTAAAGAAACTGTGTGAACTCTGATGCTCTAAATGGCTACGGGCATCTAAACAAACTGAAGCTTTATCAGGCCAAACCTGGATTCAAATGGTGGGATAAAGCTGAAAGACAGCTGAAGTTTTCTCCTGGGGATAAAAAAAAATGACAAGAAGAAAATTATGTTTTCTTCAAATGAATGATCTGATTCAAAGTGGTCAAACTTTCCTATGCTTACGGTGCCTTGCAAAAATGTTCATACCCCTAAATCTCTACCACATTTTGTTACAACACCATACTTAAATGTGATTTATTGTAATTTCACTACTAAATCACTACAAATCAGATGCAACGTAATATAACAAATAATATACCATTTCTAGAATAACAACATATCCAACATTTCCGTTCTACTTCAAAACTTAAAACTGCATATTTTTGAAAACACTATCATAGACGCATTACATTATTGGGTGCCTTTTTCAGCAGGGATATGGAAGATGATGGAAGTTGATGAAAAAAATGGATGGAGCTTAAGGAGTGAAATTAAAGAGGAAGACCTGTTAGCTTCACCACAAACCTAAACATTTAAGCAGAGCTATAATGGAACGGTTTCAGTTAAAGCATGTGTTAGATTGGTACACAGGCTCCTATGCAATCTTGGAAAGTCTTCAGAAATCCAGAATTTGTTTATGTATTTTTCCATGTCTGGATAAAATCAGCTTTGAGGAAGTAGCCTGTGGGTGTTGGGCTTTATAGTAAACAGATTAGTTAATAAACTGAAAAATAGCAGTGTCTCTCTTATAAATTCTTTTCATAATTTTATTTAGGGAAATCAGAATAAATGTGACTGAATAAAAAGGCAACAGTTTTCAGATTATTACATGTTAACACTTTGGTAAACCTTGTAATTTCCTGCTGCTGCTTAGCAATTGTTAACTACTTGTGTTGGTTTGTCACAAAAAAATAATCAATAATCTATTCCGGTTTTAACTTGACAAAAGGTGAAAAAATCCCACATGTATGAATTCTTTTGCAAGGCACTGTATTTTAATGTATCATAACCGAGGTGTTTGATATTAACCAGCTCCCTGAGCTTCTTATAGTGTAAACAAAGAATCAAGGAAGTTATTACAAAACAAAAACCAGAACAAGACTTTTTTTATACATCGATGAAATGTAACTACTCACAAGATTTTCATGGAGTGTTGCTGGTAGCAGAGTATTCTGCTGCAAATGCAAATGTATGTTTGTATGATTTTTTTCTTCATACCCAGTCTGTATGTATATATCGTACGTCTGCATTGAGCAAAGTGCAGTGCTTTTAGGCTGCTGCTCTCAGTAGTTTCAGAGTAAACAGAGGTCCCAACTTCATTATGCATCTACACATACACACACATATTTATATATATATATATACATATATACACATGCAAGCATGACGTTGCAAACACATAGTGTACACACATTAGCATGCACCCTCCAGCTCATGCAGAGCATTTGTAGAGTTCGTATAAGGCGAGTTTTAAGTCAAAGACAGTAATAACTTACATTCACTTTCATGCAGTAAAATCATGCAAAAGAGACAAACATCACAGATCAAGCACATCCGGAAGAAAGAAACTGAGATTTTATTAAATGCTCAGTTAGTATGTTTGTGCTTTTTTCATGTCTTTTTTTTCTTATGCATTGCCTCATCAAACTAGCTGTAGTGTTTTGCCTGTTCCTCTCCAGCCAGTATTTAAACATGAAAAGTATTTAAATAATTACCCATCTCTCTCTCTCTTTTTCTCTCTCTCTCTCTCTGACTGATGTGAAAGGCAACATTAAAGAGAATTTCAGCGGCATCTACTCTTAAAGAAATGATAGAAACTGTCAGAGTTAGAGATAATCTGCATAGTGTAAGTGGGACTCATGTAAAAGATCCACCTCTCTGTAATTTCTATAAGGAATATAAAGGAAAGAAAAAGAAACTGCATGACACAAGATGCAAATGTCTTTTTTTCTCTTTTTTAACAAAAAAAAGCTTGTGCTTTTTGGACAGTACCACCGTTTGAATACATCTCTATTAAATGGTTATGCATCTGGAAGGGGGTGGAGATAATAATGGCAGACACTGGGAGTTATCTGCATCAGGGTGGATGCGTTTGGGCCTTTTCTCGCAGAGTTGTAAGGAAACATGCCAGAAGTGGAACGAGTGCGTTCGGTGGGAGATCGGTGTTCTGACCTAAACACGCCCATACTGCTGTGCCAATAACAGACTCTTTAATGTCCCATCTTACCCATCAGCTACTGCAGCAGCATCACTGACACACTCGGCTGCGTTGTGCAGAGGAGTGGGTGTGGATCGAGGCCAACGCGTCTTAATTTCCATCATCGGAGTGTGCGTGTGTGTGGCTCCATGGTGTGATATGGATAATAGGGTTAGGTCGTCCCTGTGGTCTTAATGAGTTTCCTTTCTCCTCTCCTCTGCTCCCTTGATCTGCACTGATCTCATTAATGTCTGGATAGGCAAATGTAACCGGTGGAAACTGCCAGTAAGCCTTTCTCCTATTTTATCTGGTTGTTTAGATTTAGACTAGACAAAGAGGAAAGATGACTCAGGTGTGCTAAGACATATTCCATTTTTAAGGAGGTAGCTGCAATGTGTTTTTCTTAGATTTATTGTAAAACAAGTTCATCAAACTTTACTGTTATCTGCTAAATCTCAAACGATGAGCCCACTCATGCATATATTCCTCAGTCTCCATTACTTTCAACACCCCTGACATCTAGCATGGCTGTTTTACAGAGCTCTGTTCTTGACGGACTGCACTGAGGATGTACCAAAAACTGTGAACGCTTGAAGACTCATTGAAAAGCAGACTCCTGAAAAAGGTCATTAGAAAAATGGCCCCCTGCTGGAAAGAAAAAAACCTTGGGATACCTTTTGGGAAATATACAGGAGACTTGTCTTAGAAGCGCTTTTTTCATCAGACTGCTATCTTATGGCAGTTAAAAAAAATGGCACCTTTCGAACCCCTTCCTATCTGGATTTCAGAGGACTTGCTGTACATTGAACTGTGTGGGTGTGTTCATTTTCTTTTTATACTGCACGTTTAAATCTGAATATGTTTTAGACTACTGAATAACGAAGAGGAGAAACTGGGCGGACTGGGATCTGTCATCCACAGAGACATTTTTAAAAACTCAAGCCTTTTCTTCTCTTGCTGTTTTATTCTTGCCTTGTACATAGAAAATCTACACTGTAGAAAGACTCCTGGAAACCCCTAAGAGAAGATGGCATGCTTAAGGTTCAAATCTGCACTCAAGAAAAAGAAAATAAATCAGATGAAAATCTGGTTTGATTTTCTTTTTCATTATTTTCTCATCTTAAGGGTCTGTCTTTTATGTTGTTGTTTTTTTTTTTGTTGTTGCTTTTTTTGACTGTTTCCTTCCTGTAATTACATAATGAACTAATTGCATTTGCTATGTTGATTAAGATGAAGAGGAGGAGGAGCAAATGAATGGTTTGGTAATGAAGATGAACCATGTACAAGTTTGACTTTCGCATTAAAACCTTCAAACACACAGTTGCCTTTCAGCTCTCTTGCTACTTCTTTTTTTCTTCCCCATGATCAGTCCTTTAATTTTCTGTTATAATCCATATAACTTAGGCTCAAGTCTCCTATAAGAAGAAAAATAAACAGACATGACTTATACTTTCTATAAAAGTCATCAACATATAAAAGTTTCAAGATTAACCTTATTATTAATCGAATGTAGTTTTAAAAATGTCACAAGATTAGGCATATATATAGACATATTTAAGACATATTAAAATATTTCACCATACTTTGACTACAGCATCTATTTAATTGCGAGTGAGTCAGGAATTATAGGAATAACCCACTAATGTAATGGCAACACCTCAATTTACAGGTTTCACACACTGCAGTATGTTGAATACTACTGTAGAAACTGAAAAAGATGAACTTCAGCATCATCTTAATCAGTTTATAATAACCTGGGGGAGGGGGAGATTCTCACATGATAAGTTGTTCCTTAACCCCCCTGTACTTTGGCATTTTTACAAATACTATATTTTTAAAATATTTTTTCTAAGGTCAGCAGAGATTGCTAATTAGAACATAGATTGTACAAGAGACAAATGTAGACTTGAGACTTGAAGACAATATCTTATAACCATGTCTACTTTAAGAAAATGTGATTTATTTCAACTGTATTAATGATGCCAATGAAACAAAATAATGAATAAAAATATTAAATTGAATTTTATTGATCTCACAATGGAGAAATGAACTCTCTGCATTTAACCCATCCCCTTTGGGGAGCAGTGGGCTGCCACTGTGCAGTGCCTGGGGAGCAATCGGGGGTTAAGGGTCTTGTTCAGAGACCCAGAGTGGCAGTCTGTGGGAGTTGGTCTCGAACTAGGAACCTTAGGTTTCAGAGCTCTATGCACTAACTGTTTGGTTGTGTACTGCAGTGTTTAAAATCTATTCATTCAAGCAACAAATTTATATTTCACATTTAGCCAATGTGTGTCTGCAGATGAAGGTCATTTGAAGTAAACAAGACTTGAGTAAGTCTTAGTTATATCCTCCAAGGTCATAAAGAGGCCAAGCTAAACTTCTGATCAGTTCAGAGCTGATACATTCCGCTGCACGACTTGTTTTAATGTAGATCTGTGATGTCATTCTGTAGCAGACTGACATATCTGGGATAGAGCACTGAGATGTGGTGCCGTCCATCATCTTTAATCTTAGAAAGGTGAATCTTCCTGAACCTGATCCTGCTCTGTGAAAAGTTTTCAAATGTAGAAGCAATTTGGACTTAAGATTTATCTTACAAAATGATTCACAGGTGTTAACGGAGGTAAAGATTACTGTGAAGGACTATAAAATGTCAGAAAATTGAAGAAAAAAAACCCTGCAAAATATAGTCTGTTAACCATATATGCAACACTGACACCATGTGGTTATGAGTAATATTTGCATTGCTTTTTTTGTGTAGGTTTAACAAAGAGCAGAAGGATGCTGTAAAAATAGGGAACATCCAGGGAGAAGACACTGAAATCTGAAGGCTCTTATAAGTACATGGCTGTTTACCTGAAGTATAAAGTGGACTCGAGTCACTGACCTTTACTCTTTAAAGAGTCTTCTTTTTTTTATGACTATGAAAAATTGTAGATCCACACTGAAAGCATCAAAACTGTGAAATAACACATGTGGAATTTTATACTTAACAAAAAAGTGTGAAGCAACTGACATGTCTTATATTCTAGGTTCTTCAAAGTAGCCTTTTGCTTTGCTTTGATTACTGCTTCGCACACTCTTGGCATTCTCTTGATGAGCTTCCACAGGTAGTCACCTGAAATGGTTTTCACTTCACATGTGTCCCCTGTCAGGTTTAATAAGTGGGATTACTTGCCTTATAAATGGAGTTGGGACCATCGATGGGGTTGTGCAGAAGTCAGGTGGATACACAGCTGATAGTCCTAGTGAAAAGACTGTTAGAATGTGTATTATGACAAGAAAAAAGCAGCTAAGTAAAGAAAAACGAGTGGCCATCATAACTTTAACAAATTATGGTCAGTCAGTCCGAAAAATTGGCAAAAGTTTGAAAGTGTCCCCATGTGTGGTCGCAAAAACCGTCAAGCGCTACAAAGAAACTGGCTCACATGACAACCCCGGGGGACCAAGAGTCATCTCTGCTGCAGAAGATCAGTTCATCTGAGTCACCAGCCTCAGAAATCGCAGGTTAACAGCAGCTCAGATTAGAGACCAGGTCAATGCCACACAGAGTTCTAGCAGCAGACACATCTCTAGAACAACTGTTAAGAGAAGACTGTGTGAATCAGGACTTCATGGTAAAATAGCTGCTAGGAAACCACTGCTAAGGACAGGCAACAGGCAGAAGAAACTTGCTTGGGCTAAAGAACACAAGGAATGGACATTAGACCAGAGGAAATCTGTGCTTTGGTCTGATGAGTCCAAATTTATGATCTTTGGTTCCAACCACCGTGTCTTTGTGTGATGCAGAAAAGGTGAATGAATGAACTCTACATACCCATGGAGGAGTAGGTGTGATGGTGTGGGGGTGCTTTGCTGGTGACACTGTTAGGGATCTATTCATGACTGAAGGCATACTGATCCAGTATGGCTACCAAAGCATCTTGCAGCGGCCTGCTATTCCATCCGATTTGCGTTTAGTTGGACCATCATTTATTTTTCAACAGGATGATGACTCAAAAAACAGCTCCAGGCTGTGTAAGATCTGTTTGACCAAGAAGGAGAGTGATAGGGTGTTTCGCCAGATTACCTGGCCTCCACAATCACTGGACCTGAACCCAATCGAAATGGTTTAAGGTGAGCTGGGGCGCAGAATGAAGGCAAAAGGGCCAACAAGTGCTAAGCATATCTGGGAACTCCTTCGAGACTGTTGGAAGAGCATTACAGGTGACTACCTCTTGACACTTTCCAAGTGTGTGCAAAGCAGTAATTAAAGCAAAAGGTGGCTACTTTGAAGAACCTAGAAGACATTCTTTCAGTTGTTTTAAACTTTTTTGTTAAGAATGTAATTCCACATGTGTAAATTTATAGTTATGATGCCTTCAGTGTGAATCTTCAGTTTTTTTAGTCATGAAAATAGAGAAAACTCTTTGAATGAGAAGGTGTGTCCAAAATTTCGGTCTGTACTGTACACAAATTCTTTGCACATTTATTGGGGTCACCCTAATCAGGTCGTTACTTCTTTGTTTTTTTGTGTGTTCTTTTGTTTTTTTTTTATGCTATTTTTAATAACTAAAAGGTGGGTAGTATCTACTCTTACAGTGCAAATTCAAACTAAAAAATACTTCCAAAAGGAAAATGTTATTGCCCTTAATAGATAATCTGCTTTAGATAAGCAACAATTACCAAAATTATTTACTGTTTTTGTGAATGCCAGAATAACTAAATAAATACTTCCATTGCTCTGCTCAAATTCAGAACATTACATACACTACAGTTACAGTCTTTTCTTAACTGACTGAGAAAGCCCCAGATGATGATGTCACAGTTTGCAAGCTTTTCATAGATTAATATCCTGTATTTTCAGTTGATTGGAGATACCCCTGTGGATGAATTTTATGGCAACCCTTCAAACGTCCTGCTTACTTTTGTTCTCAAATAGTTAAGTATTTATAGGATAAATTATTTACAAAATTGTTCCGACTGATGTTCTGACTGATGTCAGATACAGCCGCTTTTACAAATAAAGCTGTAATATATTTGATGACAAATCAAATGTACTGCTCCCTTATGGGAATTCACAGGAACATAACAAGATAAGATGAGAATAGTGGACCTCCACAAGTCCGGGTCATCCTTAGGGTTGATCGCTTAAGGTGCCACATTTACACTATATTGCCAAAAGTATTTGCTCACCCATCCAAATTATTGGAATCAGGTGTTCCAATCACTTCCATGGCCACAGGTGTATAAATTCAAGCACCTAGGCATGCAGACTGTTTTTACAAACATTTGTGAAAGAATGGGTCGCTCTCAGGAGCTCAGTGAATTCCAGCGTGGAACTGTGATAGGATGCCACCTGTGCAACAAATCCAGTCGTGAAATTTCCTCGCTCCTAAATATTCCACAGTCAACTGTCAGCTGTATTATAAGAAAATGGAAGTGTTTGGGAACGACAGCAACTCAGCCACGAAGTGGTAGGCCACGTAAACTGACGGAGCGGGGTCAGCGGATGCTGACGCGCATAGTGCGAAGAGGTCGCCAACTTTCTGCAGAGTCAATCACTACAGACCTCCAAACTTCATGTGGCCTTCAGATTAGCTCAAGAACAGTGCGCAGAGAGCTTCATGGAATGGGTTTCCATGGTCGAGCAGCTGCATCCAAGCCATACATCACCAAGTGCAATGCAAAGCGTCGGATGCGGTGGTGTAAAGCACGCCGCCACTGGACTCTAGAGCAGTGGAGACGCGTTCTCTGGAGTGACGAATCGCGCTTCTCCATCTGGCAATCTGATGGACGGGTCTGGGTTTGGCGGTTGCCAGGAGAACGGTACTTGTCTGACTGCATTGTGCCAAGTGTAAAGTTTGGTGGAGGGGGGATTATGGTGTGAGGTTGTTTTTCAGGAGCTGGGCTTGGCCCCTTAGTTCCAGTGAAAGGAACTCTGAATGCTTCAGCATACCAAGACATTTTGGACAATTCCATGCTCCCAACTTTGTGGGAACAGTTTGGAGCTGGCCCCTTCCTCTTCCAACATGACTGTGCACCAGTGCACAAAGCAAGGTCCATAAAGACATGGATGACAGAGTCTGGTGTGGATGAACTTGACTGGCCTGCACAGAGTCCTGACCTCAACCCGATAGAACACCTTTGGGATGAATTAGAGCGGAGACTGAGAGCCAGGCCTTCTCGTCCAACATCAGTGTGCGACCTCACAAATGCGCTTCTGGAAGAATGGTCAAAAATTCCCATAAACACACTCCTAAACCTTGTGGACAGCCTTCCCAGAAGAGTTGAAGCTGTTCTAGCTGCAAAGGGTGGACCGACGTCATATTGAACCCTATGGATTAGGAAC